TCGGATTCCCAGTTTAGTTCGAGGTCAGAAATCATCGTACCTGATCGTGGAGTGAAGTCCTCTACTTATGGGTGGTAGTCCCGCTAATCTCGCGACGGTTACGCCCGGTAATCTCGGGACCGTCGGTTACACCCTGTAATCTCGGGACTGACGGTTACACCCGATAATCACGCCGCTGACAGTAGCTCACATCGGCCCCCACCGAGCTTCCCGGTAGGTCGGACCTCGGCCAGGTTCACCTCGGCCCTCATACTTAGTATCTGTCAACGCTAGTGGTGGTGATCTCGGCGGTCCGAGCTGGGGCATGACTCATGGTCACCTTGGGGCACCAATGGCTGTCCTCCACGTGTCCAGGGTATTCTTTCCCCCAAACAACATGTTCAAACGAAATCCCTAAAATCTCTCCACAAACTAGCAAGATGATCTCGACTTGATATTGAAACCACCATAACTACCAATTCTACATAATCCCTAAAATCTTTCCACAAACCATCAAGATGATCTCGACTTAATGTTGAAACCACCAAATCTACATAATGAAACCACCAAATCTATCTATATCATTCAAACTATTTTAAAATATTATTAATTTCTTTTTAACAAACATAACTAATGGACTAATAAATTATACTGCATTCAGCAATCTTAAATACGGTGTCTCTTTAATATTCTTACACAAAGTTTCATCAATCCCCACCCATTTTTTGTTACATTGTTTGAGGAATTAAACCAATCAACGTGGGAACACTATGCAATCATTCCTAACCACAGTTTTACATGATGGAAGCTGGAAGGAGCAGGACAATCATCAAAGGTTCAGTACCGAACACATTTTAATTCCATTTAATTCCACCCTACAACAATTCAGTGAACGTATCTCTAGAGATCTTCGTTTTCCAAAAAGAAAAAAAATTACACGACTTTCACTGTTCAAAAGTGGTGCTGACAAGTCGATAATTATGAGGCTGTCAGTAGATAGGGACATGACGTGGGCCATATCCCTTTTGTCGAATGTCATGTGTAGCGACTGCTACATAGTTGTGGATACTGACCCCGTATATAACACCATCTACGGGGACATTGGAAGTGCAGACGCCGCTCAGAATACACCATAACGACTACTGCATAGTTGGCTTGAATGTCTACCTCCTATTGCCTTGTCTTTAACCATATCTATAGGGGGAAGAGGACGAGTCTCATTGGACTATAAAACGCTAAAGAATTACCCAAAATAAAGAAGACATGGAATGATTAAACTACGGCTTTTGAAATGAATACATCAAGATTTTGAAATAATGTTTACTGAGAAAGGGAAGTGAGGAAGTTCCTATCCTATCTCACAAAATAAGCAAGATATGTCAATATAACTGGGTAGATATAGGATTCTACAGAGTAGATGACCGATTGGGTTATCCTTGTCAAAAATAGTTGTAGATATTATCTTTGAACATTGGCTATATAAAACCAATATTCATCAATATTCATGACTAATAACTTTAGACAACAATAAAAGACACTAAATCATCAGTCAAATTTAAGATAATGCATCATATTAGTATAAACAAGTAGAGAGTAAGAGCATGAATAAAACTAATGGTTGTAATCCTCACTAAATACAACCAACGCAAATATTTCAAATAAATACAAAGTTGAACATATTCTTAGTGACCATGAAAACAAATAGCCCCTCACCGTTGAACATATTCCTCAGTAAATAAATCTTCTTTACACAATATAGGCAGTAAATAAATATAAAGAGCCTCATCACCGTTTTATGTCTCTTTGATATTCTTTAATAACAATACTTCCGATGTTATTAAAAAAATTTTGCAATCTAATCTACACGGCAATCTAATTTTATTAATATTTTTATTATTTATTATTGCAATATAAATTATATTTTGCAATATAATCTCTCCCAACCGACCATATCTAAAGGTGTCCTACAAAATTAGTTGCGTCCAACAAAATCCCTTGAATATGGAACGTTGGCAACAGATTAAGAAACATACAATTATTTAAACCTCATTTATTTAAACAACATTCAAAATCGGAGATACCCTTAGGCGGATTACAAACCCAATCCTAACCTCCGTCCCCACAATTTTCAGATGGATGTGTGGATTGGGGATTCCCCATTATTATGGGGAAATTTGTTTTATGAGAGACAATTGCCATGGTCCAGAGTTTCAACAATTGACAACAATTATCCCCTCAAGTAGGTGGACAATGTTGGTGTAGCTGTGTACAAGGAAACGTTTGGCTCATTAAAGTTAAGGAGGAATTTCTTTTAACTCTATGAGAAATATAAAAAAAATAAAAATAAAAAAACAATAATGAGTTATCAAATATTTAATGGTATTCCGTATTTAGGAGGAAGTTTCTCCTTAACTTTAAGGAGCCAAGTTTTTTCCGTGTGTAAAATGCAGAGGTACGGGGAAGTGAAAGAGGAAGGGATGGGGTCAACATTGTCATCAAAGCCCCAGCCGAAGAAGTATAGACCTAAGCTTGGGTCTGGCCCATGTCCAGCGACTCTAAGATATTGTTTGGTGTCGACCCAACCTCCAGTAGCCAAGCCCATTACTCAACCCATAGATTGACTCATTAGATCAAAGATTGAATCGAGCTTGTGTTGACCCATTGAATTGGTTATCCTTTATTATTGGATAATTGTTTTGTAATTATTTTTCGACTAAAATATTTTAAATTTTTTTAAAAACCAAAATTTATTAAAGTTCAATAGATTGATATTTTTCAAATTTAATTTAATCTCAAATACTTCAAAAATTTTGTTACTTTCCTCCCGATAAAATTATTAACATTGTGTGTTATCTTTTATTCTTGTATTTTTTTTAATAAACATTTCATTAGTTTTTTCACCTTCATGTATGTTTTATTAGGTATAACTATAAATGTAATGTATAAACCAGTTAATGGATGAATCGAGCTCGACTCAGCCAATTAAATGTAAGAGGAAATCTATTTAATGAGTCATTTTAGAAACTATATTTCACAAATAACTTAAGTTTTCAAATTTGTACTTTGATTCTCATATTTTAAATTTTCATTAATTTTAAAATTACCCTCAATTATTACTGTTTTTTTTATTAAATTTATTTTTTATTTAAATGATTAGATTTATTTTTATCACTTTTTTACATATTTGGATTTCAAATATTTGACCTAACCTAAAAAATCTCATATTTTTCTCATATTACAATTAATACAAAATCCTTCCTTTTGTAATCAAAATTTAAAAAATTCCTGTGACCGAATTTTTTTTTTCGCAATAGTATGATAAATATATACTCTTCTAAATGGTTATATAATATATATTTTTTTATTGTTATATACTATTACATTAAAGAATATATTCCAACTACAATTATATAATATATTTTTATCTCATAATTTATTGTACGATAAACATATACTCTTCCAAAAGTTATATAATGTATAACATTTAGTGGTATATACTCAAATATTTTAGATTATTTAATATATAACTTTTGGTGGTATATACTAAAATATTAGGTTATATAATATATACCTTGAAGTATTGTGTCATATATTCAAAATCTAATCAACCCCCTAACACGATTTTTATGATTTGGAAAAAAAATACCAATGAAAAACTGTTGTCTTCTATGTGGGCGTGGTGGTGTTTGAGGGATTTTAGTTTTCAAATTAGAGATTTTAAGGATTCCAAGGATTTCAAAACAAAAAATATGGATTTTATGAAAGATGGCCGCACGATTTTAGGGATTTCAAAACAAATATTAGAAAACTGACCAAATTCTAAATTTATTCCATATTTGATTTTTTATCCTCATTTAACATATATTAGAAAGGACCGATGAGTAATTTTCCTAATTAATTCCACCTATAATGTGTCAATCTCTAAACAATAATGTAAATTGTTAAAAAGTTAAGTTCATTATGTAATTTGAATCCTCAAATAGACTAGTTATGTATTAATCCTGATAATCTACTTTTAATACACGTTAAATAAGGATAAAAAATCAAATCAAATATATAATAAATTTAGAATTTTGGCAGTTTCCTAATTTTTTTGTTTTGAAATCCCTAAAATCGTGCGGGCATGTTTCACGAAATCTCTAAAATCCCTAATTTGAAAACATAAAATCGTGTTAGGGAGTTGATTAGATTTAGGATATATGGCACAAGTATATATTGTATAACCTAATATTATATTATATAACCTAAATATTTGAGTATATACCACTAAAAGCTATAAATTATATAACTTTTTGAAGTAGTATATAATTAATCCAGAAGAAAAGGAGTTAGCAGTGGTTACCTGTTGGGCCATCTGGTGTGACCGAAATTCGATTTTAAGGGGAAAGCAGATTTCTTCACCTGAAACAAAATGTGAGTGGATCAGGGCTTATCTTCAAGATTATTTGCAAGCACGGACTACCTCTTCAGCATCGAGGCAACATGCCAGTAATTCTCACCATAGTCAGATTTGGAACCCTCCAAGTACAGGCTATCTGAAGCTTAACACTGACGCTGCATTTAGGGATTCATCTTCGGGCTTGGGGTTTCTTTTACGGGGTTCTGATGGAGCTGTGATGGTGGCCAAATCCGTGTATGTTCCTTATTCATTACCTCCTCTTCTGGCTGAAATTAAAGGGATTCTTGAAGGATTTAAGTATGCCCAAACTATTTATTGTACCCGGCTTAAAGTGGAATCAGACTCCCTCTTGGCAATCCGATTGATTAAGAATAAAATCCACACCCTTGGAGATGAGCTTAATTGGGTGTGGGAAGCAAGAGCGCTTGCTTCCTCTTTCGATTCCATCTTTTTCGGGCATGTCTCTCGGCACTGCACCAAACCTGCTCATCTTTTTGGCACAAAGAGGGGTTTTGCTTACCGCCTCATCTTTTTGGTTGTTAAACTACCCATCATGGCTTTTAGACTCTGTAATGGAAGATTCTCCATCAAACTATGCCAAAGTGGCTTAATTTAATACATTTTCCTTTAAAAAAAAACTATAAATTATATAACTTTTTGAAGTAGTATATATTATATATACGGTAAATTATGGAGTAAAAATATATTACATAATGGTAGTTGGAATATATTCTATAACATAATAGTATATAATAATAAAAAGTATATATTATATAACCATGAATATATGTTTATCATATTGCAAAAAAAAAACATGAAAAAGATGTCGGAAAAAAGTACAAGTTCGGTGAGAGGAATTTTTTTAATCTTTATTACAGAGGGATGGTATTAATTGTGGTATTTGAAAAATATGATATTTTTTTTTTTAAGTTGGATCAAGTGAAAAAAATTTCTTAACTCCAAATATAGAAAAAAGTTATAAAAATCAAATGTGATCATTTAAATAGAAAACAAATTAAATCAAATAAAACAATAATAATTGAGTGCAATCAAATTAATGCCAACTTTAAAATCTGAGAATCTAAATATGTAAAAATTTGAAAATCTATTTGTGAAATATAGGTTTTAAAATGACCCATTAAATATGTTTTCTCATGTTTGTTTGACTTTGAGCTTAGACTAGACATTGATTAAAGCTTGGGCTAACCTTTGAACCTTGGGCCCTTTGATAAGTTTGAGATGATGGAAAGAGATAAGATTACGGTTAAAAAGAAAAACACCAGAAATAAAAGAATAGCCATATTTAATAGTGCGGATAAATGACAAAATTTTAGATATTGCAAATATGACCTGAGATATTTGAGTATTCTAATAGGACCAAAATATCCCTAAATAAGGGAATCCTAGATCCCATAATTCAAAATTCAAAAGTAGATAAATGCCCATAACTAAATCTTGAAAAATAAAAGTGGCTATGAAAAAGTGCTCAAAATTAGATATAAACAAGTCCCTTAAAAATTGAATATTTTCCAAACTTTTATAAACCTTTTTTTCTCTAAAATAAAAGGGGTTAAAAAAATGAGCTCAAAATTAGTATTATGTAATTCAAATTCAAACATTTATTGATGTTCGTTGTCTTAAATGTTAATAGTTATTCGTACAATTAGAAACAATGGATTTGTTGGTTCCTTGATTTCTTAATAGTGTTAAGTTACATTTATTGTAAAAATAATAATAATAACAATAATATGGTTGATTTTCTAATAGTATTAATGTTATAGTCACTACCTAAAATTTAATATACAACAAGTTTCTTCACAACCAAATGTAATAAAGTCGAACAAATGACCAATATAAAAGTAATATAGTGTTAATATTGTTTCTCTACTACCTGTTTGTTTGCCTCTGTTA